CTATAAGGTGGTGCCAGGTTTCCCCCATCCACCTTAGTACCAGTACAAGTAATGGCACAAGTACTGTTAAAATCTGCTGCTAATAATGCCAATGAAAATGCAGCAAATAAGGCCCAGCGGACGTACGACCGTGAAAATAGCAAGAACAACATCATTCTCAGAAACAATGGCCACACGGATGAAGAACAACTCTGCAATCCTGCGCCACCCCAAGTACCTGCACTGGGTATTGCAATAGCTCGAGTCCCTTGCGGGGTTCAGGATTTCCTCGGCAGAGGTAATTGAAAGTTGACACAGGAAATCCTGGAACCCCTAGGTACCTGTAATCTTCTTAGGTGGTACAAGATTTCCTTCATCAAATACCCTGCTTGCTTGGTTGGCACAAGGAATCCCAACATAATCCTCAATCAAGTCAAGGGAACAATAATCCAGTTACAATGCCCATATAAAGAAAGAAAGAAAAAGAGAGAGAGAGGTGTGTGTAGATCCATGGTATTCAGACCAACCCCTGCTTCGAGAAACCACACATCGGGTGCAGCGGCACCTGGCCGCCATCGGCGTGGCAGACCTGTGAAGCACAGCTAGGCACAAGGCAGCAGAAGAAGGACGACAACGACTACTACTATTACTAGTACTGCTCCTGTGGAAGTAGCAGTATCAGCAGCAGCAGTGGGGAACAAAAGCCGACCGTGAGGTTGGCAGACCAGCTGAGATAGATTTAGGGGGGCCCTACAGAATCAAAAAAAAACTATGGCTTCATAGACAATATATGAGGGATTAACAACCCTGAGCCCTAAACCCCTAGATCCCCAGGAATACTGCAGAAGAGCCTGGCCTCCGGTGAAGGCTGCACGCAGATGGAGAAAGCGCGATCTGTTGCGCTCTTCCATCCACACGCCTCGTGCGGTAAAGGATTTAAGGTGTAGGACTTAGGGTTTAAGTCTTAGGCTTCAGGGCTTAGGATCTAGGGTTTAGGATCTAAGGTTCAGGGTTTGGGGTTCAGGATAATGGGAAAGCATGCTGTCAGGCAAAGCGGAGCCTTGCAATCCTGCTTGCAGTCCGCGTCGAAGCTGCAGTAGTACTGCCGCGGGTTTCTGGCGTTGCAAACCTTTCGCTCAGGTGAGCTAGACTTGCAAGTCAGCTGAACATACCCAGTACTGTAATGGTTTCCCGTTTTTCACGCATTATTTGTGGAAAACTTGAAATCATTGTGCGATACAATTTTCCACAATTGTCAACCCTAAACCCTAAACTTTGAGCTGGTGTCTGGCCTCAGGGGTGACCTGCTGCTTGGGTACGGACTGGAGTCGTCTTGCTGTCTCCTGGACTTCTGAGGAGTTCCCAAAACGAGGGGTCTGGTCCTTTTCTGGGGGGGTCCCCATAATAATCCCTAAACCTTCTAACCCTTAAACCCTAAACCCCAAATCCTAAACCCATGGTTATAGTATATTGGGGTACATATTGGGGTGTCCCCACTAAGGAAACTACCATCTGCGGTTAAGTGCGAGGCATGGGTTTGCTTACCTCAAACTTACTGGTAGTTAGCAAAGAGTGGAGGAATAGATCCTACAGTAGTCAATATATGTATATACATACATATATATATGTGTGTGTATATTGGTATATATATATATATACATAACGCCGTGTACTCGCCCATCTAAACTATTTCTTCATTGACTACTCGCCACCAGAGTAAACAAGTTGCTCAGCATCTCCTGTGCCATGCGCGTCTCTCTGACCTCAGCAGAAAGTCTCCCGCAGCTCCCCTTATCTGAGGAAGTCAAAGAGTCTATGAATTCGCAGTTGCTCCTCAAACCATCATATGGACTATAGTCTAAACTCCTTAAGAAAGGGGACTATACAAGGGAGCTTTATAGGGGTTATCAAGGGGGATACTAGGAGTTTAGACGATAGCTCACATGGACTATACACCTCCAAATATCTGGCCTAATATGCAAAATCTTTCATATGAAGGACAAAAGGGCAGGTTGGTGTTCCACTGAAGGAAAATCATGGCTGAGGCTCAGACCGCCAGACTCAGAGCTTGGAAGATGTCTCCAATCCGTGAGAACCTGTCAAAAGAGCTTAGAGTGCAAACCTGGAAATAGGATGAAGCCGGGTCAATCCCGCACCCAGTAATGGGTACCATAAGGAACTATTGTAGGGATATTAAGGGCCTATTAACTCCATGTCTAGGGGCTATTACTTTAGGGTGGATTGACCTAGTCAGCCCCAGGGGCTCTGCAAACGAAATCCCTTAGACCCTAAACTCTAAACCCGAAACCCTACACCCGAAACCCTACACCCGAAACCCTAAACCCTAAACCCTTGAACCCCCAAACCCATGCTCGCGAGCACAACACAGAGGCATTTACTCATTCACGCTCAGCTCGCCATCGATGTTCGTATCGAGCCTGGGCTCACTGCGGCAATCTAACGAAGAGGGGCTTCCCAAAATAAGCCCCTCAAAGACTCTAGGACGCTAGGATATATGTACTATAGTCTCAACTCCTTACAGAGGGTTATATAGGGGAGATTAGGGGAGTGTATGCGGGACCATTATTGGGGTTGTTAAGGGATACTAGGAGTTTAGACCATGGCTCATATGAGGATTACAGAGGCTTTGTAGAGTCCCTCTTCAGGATTTTACAAGGAATATGCATTTCGAGTACTCCAATATCACTTCTGAGGGGCTGGTAGGAACCCTGACACGCTAAGCTCCAGAAAGCTATCTTCTAGAGCTGGAACCCTAGAGCCCTGATTCTGAACCTGCAGCCTACAGCTGACCCTGGACTCCAAAACCTAGACCTTCAATCTCCAACTCCAACCCGAAACCTTCCCGCCCCCTCCCCCTTCTCCAAAGCAAAGCTTGAACGCACCATCCGCCTGAACTAGCCTAGCAGTTGGAGGCATAGGGGTTCAAAATGGGGCTTCCGATTTTCGCGAGTCCATCCACTTCAGGCAACTTGTAAACCCAGGTCACCATACCCTCAATCTGGCTGTTGATGCAGGAAATCTTGCACCACCTAAGGTCCATAGGCTAGAGCAACTGCAAGGATTCAAGGGACTTACGGTGGTGCAGGGTTTCATTCTTCCACAATACCTCTTAACCCTAAGCCTAAACCCTCTACCCGCAGTCGCCTACCTACAGCCGAGAAGCTGCAGAAAGAGAGCTTCTGGCTGCGTGATGTTCTGATGCAGGGATTCAGTGCTCATGGTTTGGGACTTGGGCTTTACGGTTTGAGGGTTTGGGGCATTCTTGACTTTGGGGGTTTCGGGGGTTGGGTTGAGGGTTTGGGGGTTTGGGGGTTTGGGTGTTTAGAGTAAGGGGCGAAGAAGGATTCTATGGTGCAGGACCTCGCGAGCGCGCTTGCGAACAACCCTAAAAGGCTCTCCGACATACCACGACAAAACTTAGATACCTATCATCCCGGCAAAACTTTTAGGGTTTCAGGGTTCAGGGGGCCACAAGTCATAAGCAATCCCGGGATGATCTCTATGCCATATGAAACCCTGCAAGTGGTTCCTTCAGCCAGAGCACAGGATAACCGAAATGTTTTACTCAGCGACACCCATAAGCTCGACTTTAGCTTGTCCTTGGGTTGAGGGCTTGGGATTCAGGGTTCAGGGTTGTGTCTGGAGAAGCTCTTGAGCTGACTCAAGGGAACCTCAGAGCGAACATCAGCGCGGGATATCGAAGAAGACTTATTGGATCAACGCTGGGAAGCGCCCTAGAACCCTTGACTGACACAATGATTGAGCAAGAGGAGTCGTCACAGGCCTCGATCAGGACCCCCTCTATCCGGAAACCTTCCGCGCTCTTTCGGAAGTCTGCGAAGCCTCAGAGATCAGGAAGTGTGTAACAGGTCTGCGAGGTCACTGATGAGCAAGGTAATCCTAAACATAAAAACCCCTGAACTTCAATGCCCAACACCCAAATTTGTTGCCATGTCTCGGAAGGCGGTACCACATACCCTCGCCAGAAACACTGGGACGCGGACTTGAAACCCTCTTCGCTCTACTCTAGATAGCCAGCCATAAACTACACACACGCTGCCGGATGTGTTCTGTGGTACCGATAAGACAATCTACATTCTTACAGTCATTCCTAAGACGAAGCTACTACACCCACCAAGACAATCATAATACCCTGCTTCATAAAATCCCATCAGGCAAGCGGAACCTCAAATGGGTATTTCCTAAGGCAGAATACATTCCCCTTGGCATACTCTGCTTTTAGGGTTGTTCAAAAAAAGATCTCGAATTGTTGAAAAACAGACTTCAAAAAAAACCTAAACCTTAACTGTTGACAACACAAAGTTCAAACCGCTGAGACCTGCGCTCATCGGGAAGTAAGCATTTGCCGGCTCGGTCCTCTGGATCACCTCGGCAGCCTTCTCCCGAACCGTTGCACCTGCACTGCGCTGGGGGTTTCTGAAAATGAGGGGTTTGGGGTGTAGGGTTCAGGATTTAAGGTTCAAGGCTTCGGGTTTAGGGGGATGATCCTTGAGAACCCTGCTTGGACTTGGTAACTACAGGGGTTATCAGGCGATCGTGAAGGTTGCCATTTCGGGATCAGCTTCTTCTCTTTCTGACTCTTCCCTCAGCTCATGAAGCAGACAAAAGGGGGCCTTACACATCACTTCTGTTTTCTCATGCTTGATCTTAACTCATGCAGAAAAACCTGAATTACTGGCAAAGTAGAGTGCGGCAAGGGATTCTCATAGGATTGTCCACAGCTTATTTTCGCATCATCCTGGCCTGACCTTGTCCTCGCGAAGTCCCTCTTTGGGGCTATGCACGGCTTTTCTCGCAAATATACTAGTTATCTTATCTATCTATCTGAGAGAGTGTGAGAGTGAGAGAGAGAGAGAGAGAGAGAGAGCCAGGCAGACAGACAGACAGAGAGACAGAGACAAACCATATACATGTCGATATGCTACCCATCAGTCTATCTACCTTTAAACTGTGATGGGATATCACAGGAAGCATCCGGCCTGTGCTGGTCTCCCTCCAGTACACCGTTGGCATGTCAGGAGGTCTGCAGCACAGCAAATCTCGACAGTCAAGCATGATGGTAAGAGCAAGCACAAGTACCAGTAGTAGTAATATGAACTATAGTAAAAACGAGAATGACTCATGGAAACTTTGAAGATAAGAACAGCAACGATAACCAACAAGTTGCAGCAATAATCATGGCCACAAGAACGATGTAAGTCTGCACAGACTGCAACCACCCAGCGTCTCTCCCGCCTGTCTTCACAAAGCAAGGTAAGGGTGTTCCAGTGGCAGTAGTCCGTCGGACAAGACGTGATATGCAGGAAAGTCATACCTCAGAATGTATAAGGATGATATCGGGATTTTATGGGGATTATATAGGGGGTATGGAGAGGAGCACTGCAGGGCATGGAAGCAGCTTTTTCCCTTCGGGCAACGCAACAATGTGTGCTCAGCGCGATGCCTTCATCTTAGAGGTCTTGATGGGCCATGAATCACACTCTTCCTTTTTGAGCCTGGTAAGGTCCCAGTGTCAATCTGACATCGCAGCTCATGGACTCAGACTTCGGGGTGTCCGGATGTTTGGGGCCACTTGCAATTTCCAGCTTCAACTGCCGTCCACGAAAAGCAAAGCCAAGGAAGAGCGGAGTCAGTGGCTCCATGCAAGGATCGCAGCGAGGATCCCTCATTTCAAAGTTCTTTACTGGGTGTACATTATAACTAGGATCCTCAAGAACAACTTGATGATGGGGGTCACAAATCAGAATCACCATAAAAGCGTTGACCTGAATACAAACAGAAGAGCCAGCTCACACGTGGCCTCTTGAAAAAACCCTACAGTGATGCCATTGTTTAGCTGTGGGTACTGTGTAAAGCCGCATCAAAATTGCGGAAAAACTCCTACACTAACCTCATGCAAGTCCGTATAGAGTCGAGCCCTAGAGTTGTGAGAACTGCCCGCAACCCTCAGCCCCACAACTCAAGGCCTTACCCCTACAGCCGAAAGTATCTTCTTGAGGAATCACCCGTGCAATCGTAAGCGCCGCACAAGGTCTGAAGCAGATGCCCTGGCCCTGCAGCAGCGTAGAAATGCAAGTTCAGGTCTGTGGGTTGAAGGCTGAGGTTGAGGCTTGGGGTTTCAGGTGAAGGTTGAAGATTCGGGCTAGGGGCTTGGGGTCTGGGGTTATGGTTTGGGGTTGAGGTCTAGGCGGCTAACAGTTCAGGACCCTTGGGCTTTGAGTTTCGAATTCTGAGTTCAGGGTTCTTTTCCTCATGACCCTGTGAAGAGCAGCTCGTGATCTTTCTCAGTATGATGCATTCTGAGGCTAAGTAGACTTGTGATTCTGATAGAAAACAATAGATACTTTGAGCTACGCAGAACAGGGCCTGTATGATACTTGAGATGAATGTCCTGTTGTAATTCACATAGATCAGCCAAAGCCCAGACCCACACTTGAGCTGGAGCTTTCGGAGGACTTCGTGTGAAGAATGGTTCAGGTAAGCATGCCCATAAGTTTCGCGTCAAGGCAAGTTCAACATCGCCCAAACACAATTAGCATTCATTCGCCCACTCCGATGACGGACCATTCAGCATTGAGGGGTGGGAGGTGCTAAATACTACAGAGACAGGATTAAGTCAGAGTCATAGTCAATTGCACTTTCTGAATTCCTATAGCAGCATGTATTTCACACAGAGCTTCTCACAGGTCTCTTTGGGAGTCCTTGCAGGGAGGACATTGCTCTGTTTGGGGGGTAGGGGTCGAATACTGGAAACCCGAAAGGGTGGCCTGGCGCAGTGCCTCCACCCACTAATGGATTTCTGCCTCTGCCCAAACAGTAGGTATTCCTTGTCTTGCTCTTGCATGAGCACTGGGGCTGCTTTCCAGAGGCACCTCACAACCAAAGGCGGCCTTCAGTTGAGCTATAATCTAAACTCCTAGTTTCCCCCTTAGCAACCCCTATAATACTCCCCTATATAATCCCGTAGATAACTCCGTTTAAGGAGTTTAGACTATGTTTCAGTCCAGTTTAGGGCTTAGGGGTCGTCTCGCCTGTGCGCACTCCTTCCCCATGCCACAAGCCTCATTGTACCTTGCATGGGTTTAGGGTTTAGGGGCTCCACTGCACCATACAATTAGCACTGCAAAACGCAGACCGTCGTGCCATTCTTAGAGCGCAAACTAGTGACTTTCTGCCGGTTAGAAAGGAATAAGGGACTATATTATATGTAGGCATAATATTCCCTTGTTCCCAGTATATAGGGGTTATATAGGCATCATATTCCCTTACTCCCTACCAACCAAGATATATTATACAGGGGTTATATAGGGATAAAACTCCCTTATTCTAACCACCAGAAAGGCGAAGGTGATCTTGTTCCCTTTTCGCCATCTTTGACCTTGCTGCGAAAGCATTGCTCAGCTGATTCCCCGTTCTCTCAAAAGCTGCTGTTGCCACTGGGTTTTGGGTTTTGGGTTGAGGACTTAAGGTTTGGGGTTTAGGCGTAGACTATGGTGAACTTGGGACCCTACTAAAAACCATGATTTTTGCTGTTCCTTAGGATTATAATGAGCAAAAAGTAAAAGTTATTTTCAAGTACTCCTAATTAGACTTCCCACAAGATGAATTCAAAGGATGCCTTTGATGGGGACCCTCAAGACCAAACCCGTACACCCCACTCTCTGACAGAGTTGTGCGGTGGCGCACTGGGCCGGCACAGAGAATGGAGGATTCTCGCACTGACAAGTCGTCGGCAAAGTGCCATTCCCGTAGGCACAGTTAGTGCAAATCCTGCCGTCCTGCCAACAAGCACTGCGTACTGTGAAATCCGCTAAAAGCTACAGAGTTGCAGGCCTTTCTCCAAATTATTGGTCCTCATATGTCCTCAGATAGGGATCCCACGACTCTGAGGAAATCCAAGGCTTGCTTGATGCCCCCGACCAACACGTAGGCAGCACTCAGGGGTCTTCTGTGTGTGGACACTACGATTAAAGAGATGTGCCGGCCAACATTGGGTGTCTATGCCAACTAAACGACAGGGTTTAGGGTTTAAGCTCTAGCTTCGCATAATGAAAGCACGAACTTGCACTGCAACTGCAACCCCATGTCCTGGCAGCCCTTCTCGCGCAGGAAGAACCCTTCCCGAAGCTCTCGGCAAAAAGCGCTGTTTTGGTTCAAGCCTCAGACCCAGAACCCTGAAGTTTTTCAAAATTCTGAATCCCTTTCTGGGCGCCAACGGTCAAGATCCTGCTTGGGGCATAGAAGGCGGACCCTTACTTCGAACAATACCTTCCTATACACCTCTTGGAGTGCTTTGGGGTACCGGCTGTGTGCCAAAAGTATGCTGCCTGGGTATGCTACGAACGCTCTTGCATTAAGGGGCATCACTCTACCATTGATATTTGCACATGCCTGCGCAGACATGGGGCTGCTGCATCCTGGGACCCCCAGTCCTTTGTGATTCATGTGTATCCCTCGGGAGAGAATCCCCAACGTTGATCCATAATTCATTGCGGCGTGGATCCCACTATGGCACCCTGACTGCTAACACACAACGCTGAGGCCAATGCATTGACACCTCGTGCACTGAGAAGGACCGCGGTACCTCCACACAGCGGAGCCCTGTCCAGCTCACATCCTGCCTCCCTTTCCAGTGTGGAGGGTTGGAATCGGCCACAAGGACTCAGCATGGGCCAATAAAGCTATGTAAGACCTACTGAACTGTTCATCAAGCATATAAGGCAACATAAAAGTCTTGTACAACGTGATTTCCCAACAAGGAGACGTGCCTTGCGAACCCCAAAAAGACTGAAAGCTGAAAGCAAGGATCCCAATATGGCGGCCTTGTGTTTTGGGACATCCCCGTTTCGGCGTCACACAGGCAGAAGAAGCATGGGACTGTTGGGCGCACTGGAGCACTTCGAAATACTGCGTCTGTGCTGCGCATCCACCTTTGCAAGTTGATTGCGCTTCTTGTCACAAAAAAAGCTGAACGTCATAGCGTGCTGCTAAATACCTCCTTCCTTTATCAACCTTTGCATACCCCCTGATTATCTTTGGAACGTTCCATCCCGGATCACCGCCCAAGCAGGACCAACGCGGGTGATCCTAAAAGCATTGCATAAAGCAAATTTCTTAAACCTAGGTAGTTCAGGTCATGCAGGATCTTACATGTCAGCAGTAATACCTACCCAGTTTACCCAATTAGTATGTCCTGCTATGCTCGGCTGTCAGTTTGCGCAAGCTACTGCTCTAAGAATGGAAACCAATAAGTGCCGTCCAGGGCTGGCTGATGCCAATATGAATCCAGACAACTAGGAGAGGTAGATCGGGCGACGTATGCTTTAAAAGTACAGGCATGCTGGCATAAACCCTCCCCAAAACCCTGAACCTTGAAAACAAGTTAAGCCTAAACCCCTACACCCTGACCCCTAAACGCCAAACCCCAAACCCTAAACCCCTACACCCTAAACGCTAAACCCCTACACCCTAAACGCTAAACCCCTACACCCTAAACCCCTACAGCACCCTGACCCCTAAACTAAGCTCCAAACTGAGGAAGGTTATCAGCAGCAGCCAGGCGGCCTGGTTGAAGGAGGATTTGGGGGTTTCCGTAAATTGGGTTTAGGGTTTAGGGCTTGGTATGCTAGAGCTGGATTGAGGATTTAGAGTTTAGCGGCTCGGGGATCCAGCGGGGTCAGGTCTAACTGTTCAGGAGGGATTTAGGGTGCAGGGCTTAGGGGTAGGTGTGGGGGTTATGGGTTGGGGCTTTTGAGGTGGAGGCGCTGTGTCAAAGGATCAGCAGCTGCCTCTGGCTATCATGTTATCACTAGTCCTACTATTACTGCGCCTGTTCACATTATATCTGTTGTTGCAATTTTCTCTTCTTACCAATACTGTGGTCAGGGATGACAGTATCACCATGAATTCCAACAGTAGTACTGTTGTGATATACCATAGTACTAACATACGGCCAGCATCTTCCCGCCAAGAGACACCGAAGCTTCAGGCGTTTGATGGCGGCTGAGTTGGTGGCTTGCTGGAGATATTTAAAACACTTTGGGACACGTGTTGGGTCCTGCCCCCACACATTAAAGTCTATAATAGGGATCATATTAGGGGATCATTATAAAAGATTATTAGTGATATCCAGCTGTTAATTTGTGGGGTAGTGTCCAAGACATATTGCCTAACGAAGAATCGTGTAATGGATGTTCCGCATAGTAGCCCTGGACCTTTCCTTATGGTAAAAGCCATCTTGCCGCTCGAAAAATAAGCATTCTCAGTGTTACAAGCTATAAGGTAATTTCCCTGAATAAGGGACCCTAGTATAGACCCCAAAATACTATAATCCTGATTACAGGGAACCCCAAAATGGTACCCCTAATTTTGGGAGACCCCCAGAAGTGGTCACAAAAGAGCTGAATGGCAGATTATCCTTCCCCAGGCTTGCCTGAAACCACACAATGCCACTCTCCAAGCACTACCTACTTTGCACACTCCCTATGTTCAGTTCCATGTTAGCTGGCTGCAGAGATAAGCTTAAGGCTTACTACCAGGGTGTTTCTCGAAATGGGGGCCTCTTAGAAACCTAGGGAGATGTGGGGAGTTAAGAGGATTATGGGGATCCGTATTAAACATGTTTCAGGGATTATTTCGAGACACTCCCACCCACCAGGGTTACAGGAATATGTGCCTTTCAGGGTTTACAGAAGTGTCATGGCTTGTACGCAACTGCATTGTTTAGGAACTTTCCATACACCGTCCAGAGCTTCTGCCCTCAGCCCTGGACCCATAAACCTGAACTCCTACACCACTGAATGTTAACTCAAATGCCTGGTTTAGGATCTAGGGCTTAGCGGCCCACGCCCTAAACATCCCGAAGCCCACAACCCCCAATCCCTGGCATAGACATTAATGGCAGTTGCAATCCTACTGGTAGATATCATCATTATATCATTCTTATTCTAGTATTCAGAGAAATCATAATAACACATGTAATGCTAGTAGGGGGTTTCCCTAAATTACTATTCCCGAAATGGGGGACTATAATGGGAACCCAATATAGGACCGTATTATAGGGAATTTAGACCAATACCCAGTAAGAATGGTAATGGGTGGGACCTTCATCGCAAGCCGGCCAGTGAGCCTTTACCTGGTCGAGCTGTCGGCAGCATTGCTTTTGGAGTTTAGGACTTAGGACCTTGCGTTGAGGTTTTAAACTTCGCACCTTAAGGGTTTCGGGTTCAGGGTGTAGGGCTTTGGGTTTGTGGTTTAGGGTGTTAGGAATCTAGGGGTGTAGGAATCGTGCCGAATAAGTTCGATCCAAATGCTTTGAGGCGTCAAGGGGCCAGGTTCAGGACTCAGGGATAATTCAACCCTAAACCTTAAACCTCAAACCTTAAACCCGAAGCCTTAAACCCTAAACCTCAAACCTTAAGCCCCCAGCATAACACTAAATCCCACACCGCCATCATTCTTGTGATCACTTGTTCCCACACTTCCAACGAGCCCAGTTGCTCATTTCCATAACGGCAACAAAATACGGTTTAGGGTTTAGGGTTTAGGGCCACAATATGGAGGACTTCTTGCACCACCACCATCCTTGAAATACGGTAGCTACTGGGACTCAAGGCAGTAAGGGTGGTGCAGGAGTCCTTCCACCAACAGACTGATACCATTTGGAAATGAAACCGCACCCTTCCTCCATGCAGTAGCTGGTAGCAGGTGCTTCCGTGCTCATGTCTCAAGACCTCTCAAAACAGTCGGCTTCCATCTTTAAATGGACTATAGGGGTTGGATCGGGGGATATAGGGCTTGGGATGCTCAAGTTTGGGGCTTCGGAGCCTGCGCCTACCATGATCGAGCAGCTTCGCCCGCATCACTACTACTCCCCTGCGAGCCCATGCATTGAACAGGCAGACGATGCGATGTGCTTACATGAAGCGTTATCCAAGCTTGGTCCCTCTTTAGGTTGCATTATAATGAGGCTCCCACTTTTCAGAGTATCCGAGATGGGTCCATAATTTTGACAACCCCAGGCGCGGCTGTGTCTCGAAGTGTCGGGTGCCTCGCAGTGCTTTGAAAAGGCTGATCCCCCCCCTGAGATGACTACCACATTGCAACTAATCCCTGGGCCGCAACTCATCCTATCCGTTGTCCCTACACCTTGAACATGGCCCAACTTTTGGGAACACCCTCTTGAGATGCCTTGCTCTAAATGTTACACACTATCTTTAGTGGCTCTGCATGTCTCAGCTGCACACCATGGCGTCCAATGCTTTTCTTTTCCAAGGTGAAACCCTACCGTGCGTGTGAAACAGCGTGAAACCATGCGTAGTCTGGTGGCCTGAGGCCTGCAACCCAGAATTCGACCAACTGACTGTCACCTTCTTTTTCGGAAGGTCCTACCTACAAGCCTCAACAAGCATAGTTGGGTGGGATTCCAAAATTAAGGGTACCATTTTGGGGGTCCCAATTGTAAGCGATGTAGCCTAAATAGGTTACCCTACCCATTTCAAACCACCATATATACATATATATAATTATGTATTTATACATATATATGTATACTCTATCGGGGCCCCATCTTTATGGAAGCCCCCATGTGAAACCTTCAGGCCGTCAAAAAACTGGCCCTTTGGTGTAGCCCGCAGAGATGAGGGAGGAGACACCTGCAAGTGAGGGCTTAGGGTTGAGGGTTTAAGTTTTAGGGATTTAGGATTTCGTGTTTAGGGATTTAGGGTTCGAAACCCTAAAACGGCCGAAAAAGACTACTGCCCTTTTAACAGGAACGATC